CTTGAATCTTTCCGAACCCAAACAAGTTTTCGTTTTGCCTTCGGTTAAAAAAACAAAACAAGACAAACAATCAATGAGCCACTATCATGGGCCCGCACTTTTTTATTGAATGGCCTACCCCGATTTAGTAAACCTACAGTTACAACGTCTCTCCAACACTGTGGATTAGTTTAAAGCAAACTTCTACCCTCGAATATTTATTTATCAGTCTCACTTGCTCACAGCTTGAAAACTTCTGCTGAAGCACCCGGTTCCTGAGGGCTTAAATAATTTAGATGCACTAATCGATTTCGCGGCCTTGTTGTTTCGGCTTTGAATTTTAAACTTAAAGCTTTCATCACCGAATGTGCCAAACTTAATCTCTTCTTCCTCGCTTTCACTGGAACGCGTTCCATTCACTTGATAAGCTACAGACGATTTGCATCTGTTCGTCAATTCTGCCTTCTTTTCAGGCTGCTGTCTTGCTGCAGTTGCTGCACGCGATGGTACTTCGATGCTATTAACGCGAAGTATTTCTGACTTATGCAAGTTTTGGCCTCTTCCTCCTGGCGATCTCACAGACATTTCTGCTAAAGGCCACGACAGAGATGAACGGATTCGTCGTTTGTTAACTGGCGCGGAACTACGTTTTCCTATTGTGGATCTTGGCTTATTAACCTTCTTAACAAGATGAGGGTTTTCTTGAAGCCAAGACGTTTCAGGTACTAACTCGTTCGTTTCTTCGACTGCATTTATGTCTGACCCCGATTCGGGCATCAAAAGCCGTGAGTTCACACTGAGTTCCGCTTCGTCCATAGACGTTGTTCTGAATCTGGAATCCACTACCTTACGTTCCATGCTCTCAGATTGTCGGTTGTTCTTCAACACTCGCTTAAAAGCCAAATATCCCATTGTCACGGACGACATTGAGTCAGAAACGTGAGGCTCTTCGGTGGCGCTGCGAAGTTTGGCGATGTGTTCTCGTCGGCTCGTGGCGGAGTAAGCTCCACTCGGCTCTCTGGTTATTGAAGGAGACCAGCTGCTCGATCTTGCACGCATGGGCGCTGATGTATCTAGCTTTGCTTGATAAAGTGATCTGTGCGTTAAAAGAGTTGTGCCCTCCGCAAATGTCTGCCTTCTCTGTACTCTCGAGAACGCAGAAGTGTTTTGATTTTCCGCCCTATTTAACAGTCGTGGCTGTTTCACAAAGGCATTCGATCCCTCATAAACACGACTGTTACAAACGCTGTTTCTTTCATTTTGTGCCTTGTCGAGTTTTGCTGTGGGTTGATTATTCACCATATTGAACTGATTCTTCTTAAGCACGAAGAGTGGCTCATACACACGACGAATCAATTTTAGCTCGTTCCATATTCTTATCTTTTCTTGATAGTTTGATTTCATACTTTTGTGTTTTTCTTGATCAATCTTGTCTTTGATCTCCTCCAGGCGCACTTGAGTTGCCCGGACAATTCGTATGGAATCTGTACTTTTGTTTAAGTTTTTCTTGTGCATTTCTCTTTTCTCGCCTTGCTACCTTCTACCACCATCAGCATTCATTCACTGTAGAACCATTGGCTCTAGAGATTTGTTTTTGCTTGCAATTAGCAAGTGATGCTTTTTTCCACTAAGTTGGTCTCTTTATCATACTTTTTAACATAACTTAAGCACATAACAGCCCTCGTCGAAATCCGCTTCACCACTCGCGCCGTTTGAATTCCAACCTTCAATGATAAATCTCTTCACCAAACGTTACAGTGCGCAATATCATTATTTGTGCAACTAATTGATTACACGATATGAAATCGTTGTCCACACACAAAGCTAATTAGGTTTTAAAACATTGCATCTAGGGAATATGATAAGTGGTGGAAGGCAATTAGAAAAAGCATTTTAGGATGGAGTTTACTATTGCCTATTACTGACAAACTGCGATTATGCTTAAACCCAGTGCAGCAAGGCTGTCTACTATGTCAACATCGTTTAGTCCAAGGAAACTTTTGAACTTCGTGAAAAACATGCACGAACAGATCACAATGGAGCAAATCCAATTTGTATGTGGGTGCTTTGCATGTAAGAAAAAAAAGGTAATTTTATGTTAATTGTGTAACATCGATTTGTGATGGTATTGTTCTTAGTTGTATTGCGAGTTTTAACTGCTACTTTCAAAGGATAGTTTTTTTTTGCTTTATTGGTAGGACAAGTTTGTCAAGGGGCCAATCATTTTCTGACATTTCTTTATAAAATTTAGCCTGAGAAAACTGCCGACATTTCGCAACGTCACCATTGGTTTCCCGCGAAATGACGTCTGAGAAACGAGCATAGAAATTCCACACTGATGACGTATCACTATCTAGAACTGGGTAGTGCTTCTGATTGGATGAAACAATTTTCAACCAATCAGAACTGAACATTGTATGTTCAAAAGTCACCATAACATATTTGATAATAATTAGTCTGCAAATATTATTGCAGGGTCAAAATAAAAAGAAAAGGTTTTACTGTTTTTTGCGGTGAAAATGTTGGAACCCGTTTTTAGCTACTGGATACCCTCGAACTGAAGTGAGTCCAAGTAGACTGGAATATGCTCCTGATCGTGCTGTTTTGGCTTAAATTGTGCTCAAAAGGCTCCAAGAGAGACTGAATCAGACTTAAGCCTGAAGGGCTGAATTGACACTTTAGGGCTGACACAGATCTTTTTAATTTACAGTGAACTATTGTACACTTTGTGAATGTCTACTCCTCTTTTGCGACACAGCACATTGACGAGAGTACATTCGACGGATATTGTTATCATTCTTATCATTGGAAGCACTACCCAAGTAATGAATTTCAAGATTCCGTCATGAATTCCGTATTGAATTTTTAACTTTTTAGTCCTTAGATCCCTTGATGTCATCAGTGAAATGAACCCTCTTAGCGGTGTCCTCTAACATGGTACTATTTGTTTTGTATGTCGTTCTAACTTTTGTTTCTGTGGATGGAATCCGATAATGTCACCATTCGAACAAAACCTCTTCGAGCTTTTGAGCATTCCTTTCACAGCATTTGTTTTTTAAGTGTTTTCCAAAATCAGCTTTCAGCTCAGTCATCTCTCTCAGTCAGTCAGGAAGGCAGGAAGAGGAAGACGACAAGACGCTTGTGTGACAAACGTGACAGGGCTATTACTTGCATGTTTTGGTCTTTTACAAAAAGATCTGTTAAAAGGAAGATGACGTTTGAGGCAAAATTTTCTAAAAAAATTGTCACGCTTACCACACAAGGTTTGCTGTCTTCTTTCCTCTCCCGTCCTGAGGCGTAAGTTTAATCACTATTAACGTGTTAAGTTGTGCCGCACTTCGAAGTAATAGGTTTAAGTTCATCAGGAGCATATTCTCTAATTGTTCTCCATGTGTTCGTTAATATTTTCATTTCTTGGCTTGTAGAAAGAGAATGGCCTCAGACTTTAAATATTTTTCAGTAAATTAAGAAAATCACTAAGAACATACCCACCCAGATTGAGCTCTTAAGAAAACGGGGCTTAAAAATAAACGGGGTAAATCCAACAGACTTTGAGTCTCCAAAAGATCGAGACCGAGACGCTGTTATGCTCTACAACGGATCATGCCAAATTCATCCTCAATACTCTTGGCACAGCAGCTTTCCACTAAGTAGATTACTCTAAAACGAAATTTAGAACTTCTCGATAATTCAATTTACATAGCCAAATCTTGTTTTCCTTCGGGCTGTCGACCTGATCGCTGAACTTGAAAAACAGGGATTGGCGAGTTTCGGGCGTCGAGACCGTCCCTTTCAATACACTGATTTTGAAGGAAGGGTTCAAGACTCGCCGTTTAGTACTTATAGAATCTCTTATGGTTTGATGATCTAATTTGTGGTTCAAATAAGCAAGAATACTAGGCAATAAAAGAAGTGCATGATAAGCACGCTTTAAAGAAACAAAATATGCATTATATGATCTTGCAGGGTCTACAGTGAAAGAGAGGATTTTACGTTCTAAAATTACACTTGTTTTTATTTGTTCTTATGCATTTACTTAGACTCTTAAAAAGTGTTAATACTACTGATCGTAAGAATGAGTTCAGAACATATGTTTTAGGCTTAAATACTCAACAAAAAGAAAACGTTCTTGAAAAGTCTAAAACACAAAGCTATCCTTATAGAGCGTATCAGTTCCGGCATCAGTCTTCTCAGCTACAAAAAAGTTGTTAGAAAAAGACAGAAGAAAGGTTTATTTTCCACATATTCTTTCTGGGTTTTCAAAACATCCATTTCCTCAATGAAAATCAATGTTTCTCTGTCTAAGGAGGCGATAGCTCTTGCGGGTGGGCGCAATAAATAATAAACGATTCAGTGGGCAGGTTTGGTATAGTATGTACATAGAGTTTTTAAATAATTCTCTGCGTGTTATCAAATCGCAAACTAGTCAATGAATACTTGTTGTCGTTATGAGGGAAAATAGGCTGACTGATTCCTGGCTTTGGCAAACTCAACACTAAATTCAGGGACCAAGTGTTTTCATTGAAAGCGAAAAAATAGAAAGAAAAATAATAATAAAAAAGCTAGTTGCACAGACCAGACTTCGAAGCCATAATGGCGCCTTTCCCACGTGATCTTACACGATTCACTTGAAAAAATGTCTCGAATCAGGGCAGGACATTTAAAACGGCGGTCTCTATTGGTTGAATTTGTTTGTAACCTAAGCTAAATTGTTCGATTTGGACAGGTAGAAGAAGGAGCTGTAGCAACGAATTTTGAACACCATCCGATTAAAAGATTTATTTTTAGACAGAAACAAATATTCAAAATCGAAAACCCAGGCAGCTGAGCTATAAGAAAAACAGTTCTTCATTTCAGAGATATTCCGGCCAAAATTAAAATTGGATTTGCAAATCGTTCCGTGTACTGCAAAGGATAACATCTTGTAAACTCGCATACAATTACTGATTGCAATCATGCAAGGAACAAAATCGGAAAACCTCCACAGGCGAAACCAGAACAAAGAAACAGAAGCTCTTGGCCTGCGAAATGCCCGGGCAAGGCAATCACGCCTTGAAGAAATTGGTGGCAAGCTGGATCGAGCTAAACATAAGAGTATGCGAACCAACAACAGTCAGAAAGCGAGGATTCTGAGCGAACTTTCATCGATTCATCGTGTGTTTGAACCAATCTACTTGATAAAGGAAAATCAGGAAAGATTGGCAAAAAGTGAATCTGCGGAGGAAAATGGTGCGATGCAGACAACACGAAAAGTTGAGTCTGATGCTACTAATGCATTTGCAAAACAACCAAGGCTGTTAAGGAGGGCTCAAACACAAAGCATAACATCGTCACAAACGAATCAACCAAACGCGGAAGAGGATTCGCAGTGTCCTGGAGAAAAGATCATCATAGTGCCCAACACAAAATGCCTTGTTAATGATGGAAAGATTGCAACTCTACGTCAAAGGTCAAACAGTTGGTCTCCGCATTCACCATGCAGTGCGCCCGAAAGTAGTTGCTGTGCATTCCAGAGCAAACGAGAGTACATCGCTAAACTTCGCACCGCCGTCGTAGAGCCTCGAGTGTCCAACTCGATGTCGTCACTGACGCTGGGATATATGGCCTTCAAGAGAAATCTAAAGAACAAACGACGACCTGAGAGGACGGCGCGAGCGTCCGGATCCATGGAAAGCAGGTTTAGATCGATTTCCTTAGACGAAACAGAACTAACTGTTATACCTGAATTGGCAGAAGAAATCGATGCCGGTGAAAAAGAAACATTGCTCACGCCAAAAAGCTCTATCTCCCTCAAGAGAGGCGCGAAGCAAAAAATCGGTTTCAATCGGCATCTTTCGGTTCCCAATGGCCAAAATCAGCACCTTGTTTCTACATTTTTGTGGCCGTCCATGAAATCATCTCGTATTCCTCGAGAAATTATTGGTGTTAAAAACACCGATTTAAGAAAAGAAGACATTAATGGAAATTTTAAGGGTGCCGAAGAAGGAGAAACCGATATAGCGGACGAGTTTTTGAGGCAGAAAGTACGATTTTCTCAAAATAGAAGGATCTCGTTAAGAAGGGCGTCTAAACTGATTAAGCCGTTAGGAACAGGGTGTTTTAGTAACAGTTTCCAAACTGTAAGTCAATTAAAAAGTGGTAAACCTTCATGATCAGATTTTTGACATATCGTTTATCGTTTCGGATCGTTCTGTCGTTTCAGCTTGCGTTAAGACATTTTAGTGAAATCGTCAAAAACTAGCCTATCTGCTGCATTCAGACAAGTGACTCGAGATTAATGTTGACTTTAGTTAGACGAGACAAATAATAAACAACATGTTGACAATTACAATCATAGTTTCGTTTGATTCAGACGTCAGACTACACTGAGACGAGAGAATGACTGAGACTAAATTTGAATTGCACAAAACGTTCACGTATCAAACTCATTTCTTTTATAAACAGACGTGTAAAAGGAGAGTTTATCGCTGGCTGTACTCATGGGACGTTTTGTTATTTTAATTTTGGTTTAGAGAGCATTCTTCCTTTAGATATTCCGAAATTATAGCAATTTGGGGTACGATTATTCCTTGGTCAAATTAAGTAATTGCCTAGTGTTAATTATTTTCATTTTGAAGAAGTTTTTGGCTATGATTTTGCTCACATCAAACAAGATAAATGATAGCAGAATAAATGGTATACCTTAAATCAATAAAATTAAAATATGATGAAAGACATATTGAATTATTTTCATTCAGAGGAAATTACGAACAGTGGAATCATACCCAGATTGGCTTCGATAAAAAATTCCTGTGAAGAAATAACTGCTGCGTCAAACCACAGAGAAGGAGGGATACAAATCGAAAACACGGCATTATCAAAAGGCAGCCTATTTGTCGTTCATTTTTTTGCTAAAACGGGAGAGAAATGTGAAAGCTCAGCTCTAAAAATAGCAAATGTCCCTTCGAAGCGCACCGTTTTCTTGCAAGCGCGAATGTTCTAACACTTGTACTTTCTTCGACATGAAAAGTAAACAAAGACAGATACATAAAAAATAAATAATGAATAAATACATTAAGATAAAAAAAGAACAAAGAATCTGTTGGTCGGTCAGCCGAGCGGGAGACTGCTGGTACAAACACCGGGCGGACCAACACTCAAGGTCTTTCGTGCTGCCTTTAATTTTTAAAGACATCTGCAAACGGTTAGGCTTTCTAGTCTTCTCGGTTAAGGACGATAAACCGTAAGCCCTGTCTCACAACCCTTGCACACATAGATTCTCTGGGACGTTAAAGATCCCACACACTCAGTGTTCGTAAAGAATAAGGGACAAAGTCCCCGGTGTCATGGTCTATCACTAATGGGGAGATGGGAATGTTGCGGGCCCTCAGTAATTGGCGCCACGCGCTGTCGCGGTGACCCTGACAAGAACTGGCCAACCTAAGCTTTAAAAGAAATCGTCTAGGCAACCACTTCATCTGTACTTGAAGGCAAGATCAGAGAGAACTTTATGTTGGGAATTATCATAATACCGCCGGCTCGAGACAAAAGGAATCAGTTAGTCTAAGGTTATACTATAATTTGGCACCAGTCGTGTAAACAGTCTCAACGAAAAAAAAAAATCCTCTATATCACTAAACTGTATTTTCAGTGAATACATGATTAAGAATAAAAACCCAGTCGACGGCTGAGAACATAAGACAATTTTTCTTCTTAACCCTTTTAACCTTTCTTTTTAAAATCAATTTTAACCCACGTGAGTCTATTTGTGATCGAACTCTTTCCAAGAAAAACTACAAAATACAAGGAGCCAGAACCTTGGAAAAAAAAACTGTGAGAACATCAAAACGACGGCTCCTTAGCACTCACAAGTCGGTAATACTAAGATCCAACGAGTGTCCTGTAGCCCAGTGGTAGAGCATCTAGACTATAGCAACAAGAAGATCACTTAGTTCGTCTCCTATTAATATTAGGGGTAGTCGGGGTTTTTCTTCCGAGTCGGCAGTGTTGCTCACTGAATAAACATCTTTCTTAAGAACTGTCATTTTAAGCACAGTTACCGAAACGTTAATTTACACAACCCAAGAAATCAGTATTGTCCGCATTCCGTTGGAACAAAGTTCTTTGTCAGGTCAGAATTTTACCTGCGATAGAGAATGCAATACTGTTCATAAGATCAGCTTCGTGATATGATTTAGGACGTTTAGCACTTTTAAAAATTGAATCACTGCTATAAATATAAACTGCGCGCGCAGCGGCGAGATCGAAGGGAAGCTTTTGACTAAGTATCTGCAAATGGGCCTGATAAATGCGTTGCCTGATAACACGTTTTTACCTTAAAATACATTATTAAATAAAAATTCTTATCATTGCGGACAACTTAGATTTCGTTTGTACTTGTTGTTTGCTCAAATAAAACTTGACCTTGCTATGATGAATCGTACTGGTAAGTGGACTAAATGAAACGATACCGGCCTCTAAACCCCTTACGAATGACAATTTTGTTATAATTTCAACTCTCGTGTCAAACACTCCGTCTAAAAACAGAACTTTAAAAAATTGCGTTTCAAATTCAAATTTGCGTGTCAAAAAAGACTCCCTTGGCAAACATGGGGGCGAAGGATCGATCTGTGTACTTTGGTGCGCTAAATGCATTAGATGAAATGTCAAAATGTTTGTTTTCTCCGGGGGTAATTTTGATGCTAAATTTCCACTTGGTTAGATGCGTGAATAAGTATTTGTCACTCAATTATTAGTTTCGGCGGTGTTAAACCCCCACAGTGATTGATCTCTTGCGTTTAACGACCGACAGCTTTCTATTTAACAAAAGTTTGACGATTCTTTGAACAAAACAAGTATTTTATCAGCTTACGGGATAAATCGGCGAACTCCAAACACAAAGTGAAACGCCGGGTCATGGAACAGGTCATGCGTTTAGGATGTTGGCTGTCATGATTTTGAATAGCTGCAATTCGCAGAATTCTTTGTGGGATTCGATTTCTCTACTCTCCTGTATCCATCGCAGCATTCATTGGGCTTAGTGGTCGCAAAGCGTCCATCACATTACCTGAAACTCATCGAGAAATTTAAGCCATATTTGAAGATAAACATCGCCTTTATTGCCATAAAAAGCGTCAAACGCTAATGTCAAAAACAACAAAAACTAAGACTGGTGTTGATTTCAATGTATACTTCAAACAAATCGGAGACAACTTACGTATTTTGCTGGTGATGGCTTGTTGTTTTGAAAGTCGAAGGTAAGACATCGTCATGACCCACCAAAAAACTGCAGTGACGAAAGAAGATGTAACCCAAGTTAAACACCAGCGCAAGGAAACGGAGTCCAACATGAAACCTCAACAAAAAGTGGATAAAACTTTCGAGGAACTAGTCGAGGAATCAATTCGTCTCCCGGAATTAAACGCTTCTAGTTGCCTTCCCATGACAATGACTGAAATACTTCGCAGCTCTAAAAAGGAAAAGGACGTCACCACGAAACTGCCTAAAATACATAGTGGGCAAGTTCAGTTAGTCACTATGGGCGACGGATTTTCAAGTGAGAGAAAAAGAAGACGCGGAAAAAAAGTCAAGGCACACCGTCGCCCCGAGACACCGTCGCCTCGTGCCGTTCCAGAGATTAACTCTAAAAGCGTGCGCGTGGCATGTTCAAAGCAGGCTGCTAATTCAGCCACAGAGGAAACGAATACGGTTAAAACACATTGGAAAAAAAAGCTTCATAAACGACAAAGTAAAAGACATTTAACCGATGAGGGCGACCCTTTGAATGTATCAATAACAATTTCAGGGTACCAACATTACAAAGAATACAGGACATAGAGCAGAGGTTTTGTGAAAAATAAACAACTTTGACTCGACTTCTGAAACATGGTCGAGAGGTGACGGCGGATTAGTGTAGTTTAGCAAACTCGGCACTGTCGACTTCGTAGAAGGGTGCTTTTTCCCACTGCTGCAAAAACCTGACAATGCGAAGAGGAGGTAATAATATTTTAAATCAGTAAAAAGACAGGATACCATAATAACGATAGAAACAAGATGCAAAAACGACCGATTGTCACTTTAAAGCTGAGTTGGTTAGAGACCTTAAGCTGAGCCGTTCGGCGTCTGAGTCCCCAGTAATCGATTGACAACATTAACTGAAGACTCTGTAACTATGCTACAAGGTGCGATCTAAACAACATTCAGTCATATTTCACATCGTTCGATGGACATATTTTGTTATATATACAAGGATTGCATATATGTAATCAAAAATTGACCTTAAGTAAAGTTATCCGAAATTGTTTGGGGTTTTGGCTTAAAAGGTACTGACCACTGTACCTGCATGGCGTTCGTATACTCAGTTAAGATTTCAGCTCACTCTCAGAGTTCTTTGAGGAAAGAAACACCCCACACACACCCAACAACTCCGAAGCACATGACAAGACTTAGGTTACACGTCACGTTACGCTTTAAATAATCGTTCACATTATTTTCTTGTACATATCTCATGCGGGTTGAACTGCGCGCTCACTAATGAAAATTTCCAGTTAAATGCTCGTACCGTCGCTCAGACACTACAAAATGAGAGTTTTAGACAGAAGAAATGTAAAATAATTAGGCTCGTGAACGCTAACCAAAACTACTCAAATGAGTGAGTTCAAAGACGTAATGAAGTCTAATATTGCGTCACTGCTTACATTTTTATCGTAATAAACTAGTAGCTGGGTTTAACGGACTTCGCTTTATTATTTTGCGAATATTAAAGAAACGCTAGAGGTGAAGTTTAAACTTTAATCTCAGTTCCCAATAATTCGCTAACAACAATTTAAGTGCTCTAAAATTCACAGCGTGCTCCGATAACAAACAAATATTTGTTCCGCAGAAGGCTTAGTAGCATCACGCAATCGGAAAACAGGCTTAATCAACGTTAAAATGAAAGTACCTAATAATTTTGTTAACGCTGTTCATTGGACGAAACTGAACGAATTGAGCGCGGCAAGCTTTCCTCATAAGGCGAAATAAAGACAATAGCTGATCAGTATTTTACAAAGTTTACATATCTACCAAATGACAGAGAAATAAGATTTTTGGTATCGCGATTATGCGATTTACAGAAAAACCTTTAGGGAATACTATTTGCCCAAATTACAAGATAAAACTTATGTCATGCTAACGCACAACTTTGGATATACAATAAAGGAACCTAAATGTCTAACGGCCTAAGTAGCACATATGCCTCTAAAACAGAGGATAATATTGAACAAAACGTATTAAATGGCCCCAGGTAACACAGCGAAGAACAGTAAAAACCAACAACAACAACAAATTTTATTGAAATTCAACATTAGAACTAATGAAATAATTTTCCCACCCGCTAATAGCCTAGGGACTAATCGAGGCGGGGGAGGAAAGACTTACATGTACTGAACGGTGACAAAAGGTTCTAGTAGATGGACTAAACAACAACAAGGACACTACAGGACAATAAATAGAGTAAACTAACATAAAACAAAGTAAGTAAATAACACTTACGAAGAGAGACTAAAATCATGTGCGTATATAACAACTCTTTATAAGTCGCAATTGACTCAGGCATAATATGCAACAGGTAGAACAAAAGATGACACATATAAACGAACACCAAGAAAACCAATAAAACATTCGATTTATGACAGAAAAAAGGAGAACTTTAAGGAGCACATTCACGCACACGTTCGTCCATCTTGGTCAGCTCACGTGACTCCTTCCAGTGAATACTTAGAAAAAATGAGGCCGCGAATTGAGCTCTAACAACATCATAAGAGGCCATTATGAGTTCCGCAAAAACTCTCACTTTCAAAACAAAGCTAAGAGCAAAACCATTCTTGTGAAAACGAGTTTTATTTGCATCAGAATAAGAATTCGTTTTCAAATCAAAGGGTTCCGCATTTAGCCTCGCGGAAATGGTCTATTTATTGTTATTCATTTGCTTTATTTAAATACAGTGAAAACCCACGAGTAAGAACCTAAGAACCTAAGAACCTAAGAACTTAAGAACCTAAGATTTAAGAACCTGTTAGGCTAAAATTTATAAATTTAGACCCCCCTCTATATAAGAACCTCTTTAGCCTAAAATTTGGGGAAAGGTTCGTATTTTCAAAAATCATTTACTAATTGCAAAAGGCAAGTTAGTACATATATAAATGTTGTTTGATTGAGGTCATTGAGAAAATGTTTATAATATTGTGTTTTACAGCTCAATCACGTATATAAAGTTCTTTTGACTCAAGAAATTAAAATTCATGTGAGAAGAGATCTCTATTATGGTCATATTAAAATATAAGCAATCATTAGGTATGCAAATTTAAGGGCGCTGATCACTAAAATCTTCTTAGCAACGACAAAATTTTTTTGCAAGAAATTAAGAACCTATTAAGAACCTTGATAGCCTAAATTTATGTTAACCACCATTTATGAAAGAACCTGTTTAGGCTAACCCTGGAAAATGTAGGTTCTTACTCGTGGGTTTTACTGTATGTACTTTGTTGGTAAACGGGTAATTGACACAAGAAGAGAATTAATAATCGGTTTAGGACCATTCGTAGCCAGTGGTAAATTTCTTTACAATGTTTGCATGAAAGAATGCGATCGATAAATGCAGGTTGTTGCCTCAGCTATGGTTCTGAATACTTGCTAAAACAAAATTAGGGCATTGGAGGCTTGCGGATTGAAGTTTTTCAGAATATTTCCCTACTTCATAAGAAGAGTGTGGGTTTATTTAGAGGATGTATAACAAGAGGTCCAGATTGTATTGAATATGCAGAATCAGGAGCTCATCTTCATTGTGTGATCAATTCTCTATATAAGGTCTTGCATGCATGGGCACGGCAATTCACATAGAACCACCATTCGCACCAAAAAATCTGCAGTCAGTCAGCGAGTAGGCGGCTCTTTACATGGAGAGAGGAAGATCCTTCGACCAGGAAGATCCTAAAAGGCGGATCATCCTAGCGCCATAATGTTTTCTGTATTCGGTTTACATGCAAAGGGTTGTACTTGTCCCTAGCGCTAGGATCTTCTTACCTGCGAGATAGGAAGATCCTAGTATTAGGAAGATCCCAGCACCATGTTAACTGCTTTCACTGGGAAGATCCTAGAACTAGGGACAAACCGCGCAAAAATGGGGGCGGGTCGTAATGTTAACCACATGGACCAAAATTTCTGCACGTAAACCAAGCGAATAGTTGTTCCGCCTTCTAGCATCTTCCTCCATCTAAACAGCCCCTAGGATTTCCAGCAATAGCGACGGACGAAATCACAGAAGCTTCAAGCGAAAAAGGTTTAACTGCTTAACCCTTTAAGCCCCGAAATCCACATACAAATTCTCCAAACTGACCTCCATACATTTCCTTACAGAATTAGTTGAGAGAATTCGATAAGAGATCAAAGCATTTTTCCTCATCACCTTTTCTTTTGCTAATGTATTGACATGGTGAGGAGAAAACTGATGTTGGTCAGTCTCGGGGCTTTAAGGGTTATAGGACCTTGGAAGTCATATTTCCAATTTGATGCTGGCTTTTTCCTAAACAGCCCATAAAATGACCGAAAGTCTAGCGTATGACACGTGACCCCAAGGGTCTGACAGATGCGCTGTCATGGTACGAGTGCAGCTTATAATTAGAGGCGCGCGTTGGTCTCGCGCGATTCGTGTTAGACTGCGGTGTCTCCCATTTCGTGCAAATGACAAACTGCTAAATAGCTGGGAGTAAAGGCTCGAGTGTTTACCACTTCCTTCAATTCCCTCTACGGAGAGGTTCCGGGTGTGACAAAAGTACAGTCAAAATACATTGAGAGTACTACAAAATAAAGAGAAATATTAACAGGGAAATAGGATTAACATTATTATGAAAGACTGCAGACGTAGCTGCAGACAATTTGCTAAGAAGAATTAACTCAGCGAAACAGTCAGATCATCCCTTTGTAAAATAACTCTACAAATGTCGCATGTTTTGCATAAAAGCTCATTTCCGTTAACGTAATTTGCGGCCGCTAAGCGCTGCCAAAGTCTCTAATAGGCCAGAAGTTAGATCTCTTTCCGGTCACGGATTCCAAATATGTTGATATAACATGATAATTTACCGTGCGGTTGCTCGATCCTTTGAAAAATTTGCAAGGCTTACTTATTTTCTCTGGTTTGTATAAATTTCTTAGGGTATAATGTGGTGATCGGGGAGACCACAGACAACGTTTTAAGACTAAGAGTAACTTGTGTTACTTACGGGATTTTACGAATTATTCCGGCGAGCGTTCATCAAATTTTGCGGCGGGGCCAAAAAACAATCGAAAACAGGACATGAATCAGTTCGTCGGTGCAAGGACAAGACGCCCGATAATCGTTAAACAATCCAGTTGTTTATTTAAAATCTTAAATCAAGTTGCATTGTACACAGATGGAGCTTTATTCTGATAGTTTATAACCTGTCTATTTTTAATGGAACAGCATTAAAAAAAGAATATTTATCTACTATATATGTTACACAAACAAAAAAAAACGTTATCCGGCTAAAGAATTCTTTCAGTCATCCAGATTCCCAAATTCTAAATTATAGAAAATGGAAATTTGTTCAGTTCTTTTCGCTGCAAATTTAAAACAGCGTTTTATCTGATGAATCGATACACGAATCAACTATACAACAGCACAGGGTTTTCTAAAACCATAAGACCGTCACAGACAAGTTACTCCTACCATTTCGAGGCAATTTAGAGTTAGAGGGACCTAACTTCTTTGTGCTGTCGCCTTTTAAACCCGCGGGTAATCCCTATAAGGATTTATACGGGAGGCTCCGCCCGAAATGGGGACACTTTTAGGCTTCAGGTACATGAAAAGGGAGGAATGTTACTAGTTCTGAAGTATATGGAAGGGAAAAAAATTCTGTCATACCGGTTTGTGAAAAGGCCCGAAGGACTATCAGAAACTTTTTATGGCTGTGAAAAAGTCGCGAAATCGTTCTGGTTTTATTATTTATTCACATTTCAAAGAAAGTGAATTTATAGAAGTTAAAGAATGGAAAGTTCTAATCTTGGAATGTGAAAGGTGCCATGTTTCATTAGATGGTATACTGTGGTACACGAAATACCTTCTCGTTCAAAAATAGTGTTAACAAGGGTAAAGGAGTTGGACCTCGGGGCGCGGAGCCTACCCGTATAAAATTTTGTTGAGTACCTACCAACCCCCAACCAAATATGCCGCAGAATGTAGGATCTAAAGAAGACCTGATTACCAAAAATATACCAAACAGGACGAAACATTCAACCATCCATTGACAACAACAACAACAGGTCAGATTGTTGTTACACGTTATCTCGCAAATAATTTTAAGTAATGGTGTCCAGCAGCAAAAGGTCATATTCACCAAAACAATAGACTGTCCTTCTGAAACAATACTCAATACCAAGCTTCAGGGTCGTCTTAGTTTGGCAATTGCAGAGGGGGGGGCACTCAAGGCAAACTTGGGTGGAGGTGTGTCGTCGACGCCTTCAATCCTGACCCTTTTTAAGACAAAAAGTCGTTCGTTTCTTTATCCTGATTAAGATACGATACCTTATTTCAAGATCCTGAATTCTTTTAACACTCATGCGAGTAAGTTTTTGAAATTAACTGCTGGAATTAAACTGTTTTTCCGCCACAGGGAATTCGGATTCCGGCCCGAATCCGGGAAAATTTTGCTTGTGGAATCCGGAATCCCAATAAATATTGGAATCCGGAATCCAAGTTCACGTGACAAAGACTGGCATCCAGTACGCGTGTACCAGCAATCTGAAAATCTACGGCGTGAAATCAAGAATCTAAGACTGTCTTCGATTCCCTTACACCATACACGGGTCGAGTTTTCTGGAAAAAAAACTGAGATCGTTGTTACCACACATGGAGATCGCTCATCGTTCGAACCGCCACACTCCTTTAATTGCCTCCGGTCTTTCCGGTCCAAAAAGACACCAGGCTAAGAGGCTAAATAGTGAAAGTGTATACCTTGTTTACGACTCACGACGCTGAAAACTGATACCCTGCTCAGCAGCACGTGCACATACCCGCGGTTAGGCCAAATAAAAGAGTGCTCCCTCCGGGAGATTTACCAGCAAATCGATTCATTTTTGAGTGACGAATGAGCGATTTGACCAATGACTTTACTTAACCACTAGTTAAAAAAGACTAGGAAAGCAGTAAATTAAGCTCGACGTTTTTAATCCCCATTAACCCCTTTAATCCAGTCGTCATTTAATCAGTTCACTAGTCTTACCTATTAAGAGACCCATTGCCCGGGACCCATTGGCGTTGTTGACTGAAACGTACAGCAAGGAGGTCGGTACATTGTAACACACAAACATAAATGGTGTCTAGAGAAGAAAAATAAATGCTAAGTAAACACTTTTCGAAAACGTATTTGAAATACGATGAGGCACCATGATTTTAAGACTAGACATCAATGACAAAAATCGTCTCCGAAATATTTTAAACCATCGGATAGAACTATGGCCAATTGCCGTCTAATGGGTGATAATTGACTTCTACTTGTTTTATATTCTTTGCTTCTCAGTTTAGATTTCTTTTAAAATAAATAATACCAATATTCTTGGGGGCAATTAGAGAGATAAACCAAGCCATAAGAATAATGGAGAGAGGGATAAGATAGTGTTTTGAATACAAGCTCTGATGGTTATGCCAACGTAATTGGCAAAATTTTCAATTGGCACACACAGTTAATCCCAAGTAAAAAAGAAAAACTTGACTAATTAGTTCTACTGAGTATTGTAATACTGAAGAGCCATTCAAAAGCTTTTTTAACAGGGCGGTGTCATGGTTTGTATTTTGTATCTATCTTGGTGGACATGTTAGGCCAGCAGAAGGTCGAAGCATTTAACACTATAAAGAGTGCGACATTGTAAAGTAAACCGTGGAATTTTTAACTATGAGGCTCTATATCTTTCAATGTCCATACATTACTGCCATTGATGGAGGTTTTCTTTTGTTTTTCAAAGGAATATACTTACAACAATAGAAGGCACTTTTCAGTGATTACTGCAGCATTAGTGGCCGAGTATTTGAGGGGGGAGGGGGTGATTTGGGTCAAACAAGTACATATTTTTTTGTTTTCAAACCTACAACTGTGATCAATTTTTTTTCCTTAATTATTTGGCGTCAATGTACGACCATTACAGTAACTCTTACCAATTTTTTTATGCAATATTGTATTCATTCCACGCCTCTTGGAAGGATTCTCACCTTCTGAAATCAACCACCCCTATCCCCACCCTGATAAAAGGAAAATGCTCCCCCTTAACAAATGTCTTAGTCTGACATATGGCATAGGTTGTTTACTTTACTAATAAATCGCGCCAGCGTTAATTGATGTAAGCACTCAAAGTTACAATGAGTACTTTCCAATGAAAAACTACTACAGTGGAACCCCGCCTTACGACCACCCCGTTTATAAGACCACCTCGTTATTACGGCCATATTCTTTCAAACCAAACGTAAAAACCATTGAGTCATTTTCTTATTTTGAAGACCCCGTTAATGCGACCACCTCGTTATTACGACCAGGATTTTATGGCCCAACGGTGGTCGCATTAACGGGGTTCCACTGTATGAGAATAGGCGACAGAAGGCGATGCTAAGATGAACAGGAACAATTTTCCATCTTTAAGTGAGGAGTTTGTACGTATGCTCTCGAGAAATGACAAACACAATGAAGGCGAGGAATCTTTTCAAACAAAGAAAGAATTGTACTCTATTTATTTTCAAGAAGCCAAGTTGAGAAGAGAGCTTGACTTTCCAATCGACGAAGACAAACCAAGTCCTTTTCGAACTTACCAAAGACTAGATCATGAACGTGCAGAAAGAAGAAAGTTCTTTTCGTTCAATGGCCCAACATTGAGAAGCAGGTCGCTTCCGAGCATCTGTGACCCTGGTCTTACCACAAATCGACAACAATTGCTCCCAGCGACCAAGAGAGAAATATCCCAAACAAGAGTAGCTTCAAAGTGGCAAGAATTAACCCAGAGTTTACAAAGTATCAAAGAGGGAAACGTCGTTGACCAACGTTCGGGAAAGACATCTTCTGGCGATGATTCTAAAATCGACGCCAGCCGTCCTGTAACGAGACGAAAGAGCCGGTCGGACGCAAAGAGGAAGGCGCCGCAAAAATGGAACGTAACTATACATAGACGAGTACCGATAATAATTTAGAACAGGAATATTGTAGACAAGGCCGAGGTTGTCTTACCACAGTCTATTAATTAGGTAATCAAGCTACAAAATTTAATTAATGGTTGTCTCGAGCTTAATTATATGATATGGATCGAAACGATTCACAAAGTATTTAAAAAGTAACTTAACTACCACTGCCAAAGAAGACCACGGCAATTCAAAAGCGACGCTTTTTGTATGTATAAATGCTTTTTAGTCTGACTGCAAAAAACTGGATGAAAACAAGGAAAAGTGAAACAATAACGTTTACAAGAGACATTAAAGGGGACCTATGCTTTCAAAAAAGCCTTGAAATTTTATAGCCAGAAAAAACCATACATGAGCTTTAACTTAATAAGCTAACATTACTGAAAGGGCATCAAGTAAAACACCAAAAATTAACGAGTGTTCCTGATCTCTCTTGTTCAAGTATTCAAAGTTTTGCCTGTTTCATGATATACCAACAGGAGCGAGTCTTAATTATCAATCCAAATGTAAAGGCCTCTCTGTCGGTACAGTAACAGTTTCTGTGCGCATACGGTATATGCACCACAAAGACACAGAGGTTTTAGCTTGTGGACTACGAAATCATAGCTTAAGTTAGACTAAATGAAAGCCACTGTACCTCACTTCAAAAAAAAATGTTACGGCGCTGGTTATTGAATAAATAATATTTTAACATTTCCGACTATTAAAATAGCCGAAACATAACTCATAAGCCTGAAGAGTTTATCCTTTTTTAACCGACAAAGATCTCTACGTTTTAAAAAAATCTCTCCGTTGCATGAAGCACCTAGGGGTATTGCTAGTAAGTACAGCCTGGATTAAGTTTCTCTGGATCCGGGATTTGCCTTATTTGAAGGTTAACTGTTTCGAGATCCAGGATTGAAAATATGCACCAAATTCGAGATGAGTTTGTTGAAATTTTTTCCTTTACTTTACCGCACAGTGTTCAAAGCATAAAAGATTAGTAGAGCTGTAGCAAATGTTTAAAAATTATGGGAAAGGGACAATTCTAAGAATTAAATTGACTGGAATTTTGAATTTGGTGTGAATAATGAATCGAAGAAGATGAGATGCTCCACCATCACACAGTGCCCCTGAAACCGTCAGCGAACTAACTGGTTTAATCGTATACCAGAAAGCCCTTAATAAAGCAACAAACCTCGCTTACAAAAAGCCCATGGAATTAAGTCACCTGCGGAGCAGGGAGTATGGCGCCCTACCAACTCGCTGCTCGCAGCTTCGCTGCACAAACACTCACATACCCCACTCGCTTACAGATTTTCGAGCAAAAGAGGGACTGCTTCTAGTCTATAGGGGGTTGAAAACGCTCAAAATCACTGACCGCATTAATTCAAGACTTACCTCACCTATGAGGGTCATACTTTGAGGTAATCAAAAAAATTCAATTAAACGAAATCGTCAAGCAAAATGTACAGGCAACCTAAATTTGTATTAGTCACACAGTCGGAAAAAGTATTGAATGCGGGCGGGCAAACCACGCGCATCAAGCAAGCTTGCAAACAGTTGAAGGCTCCCCCTAAAAGATGTTTGGATAGCGCTCCTGGGGGATTGTCTGCTAGCACCCCGAGAGTACTCCCCTAGGGTCTACTATCTCCCAAGGGCTTATATAATTATGAGCATTATACAAAACAGCTCATTCTAGATCAGTCCTTTTAAGACCGCTTAACTAGGTCCTTTGTTATTCAAATTGCTGACCGTGATAAACAAACCTATTTGTACTGTACAAATGTGAACAGACAACTAATCCAACTAAAATTTGTACATTGAAGAACGCGCAAAGTTGTACGTCAAGCTAAAGTTAAGTTCGTTGCACCTTCTATGTTAAAGTCACGACAGTTGGACAACATAAATGTACAAAGTAATAAAAGAGAAAGAGAAGTCTCTTATAAGTTTCATACTTCCAGTCACACAGTTTTTCTTCATTGTAAATAACGAGGTACAGTGTAACCTCGATATAAAGAAGGGCTAAAGGAATGGCTAAATGTGTTCTCCATGGCGAGGTTTCGTTGAATCATATATTTCTCGTTGAATCATATATTTTACTGTTGCTGGGGTTAAGAAAATCGTTCGTTATATCGAGGTTCTACTGTGTGCACGTGAATAACAAGAGTTCAGACAATTATTAGCACGTGAATTTGCACAAATTCATGGTTACAGGACCGGGATAACAATGCTTTCTACTGAAACGGTCCCCAAGGAGTCTAAGCAATATTGTAAATAACCCATTCAGGATCATTTTGCTTTGAACTGCTTCCTTTCTCATTCAAGGTACAGATCGTGACAAACAAACTTTTTTTGTACTGTACAATTCTGAACAAACAACTAATCTAACTATAATGAGAACATTCGAGAAACAACACCAACCATAATGTAGATAACTGTATAGATCTCAACGTGGGCTGTAGTATCGCATAAAATTTTAGAACAATCCTGAACTTTGTTTACAGATCAGTCAATCGGACTGGGCCTTCCTATATACATGTACTTAATGATTACAGTCAAACCTGGTTAAAACGGACACTTATAGGGGGTCATTGGTGTCCGTATGAACAGGGTGTCGGTATTAAGTGGGTTGAATTTAGAGAAATGCAAGGGCTTTCTTTCCCCAGAGACATAGCAAACTGTCCGTAATAATGAGGTTTTCGTATTAAGCGGGTGTCCGTAGAGCGGGGCTTGACTGTAGAGAAAAAACGCCTCATAAGCTGCCGCATGTCCAATCTTTCAATATCAAAATCCCAGGTATTTACAGCACCAATAGAACCACGCAACCATGACGTCACATAGTATTTTCCATTTTTGTGCGTAAACCCAACAAACTGACAACTATGAAGGATATTGGGATTTACTAATGAAAGGCGAGTGACCTGCTCAAAAACTTTATTACTTGAATGGCTTCACATAAGATAAGCTCCTTTGTACGTTTCTCCGTTGCCAATCAGAAAAACGAAAAATGGCAGAACTCGTTGTGGATTTCGAAAATAACCCGACGCTACAGGAAAGAGCTCCCACGCGCAAAGTTATAAAACAGTACCATGGAAAATCTATACAAGGAAACTCAGTTTAACGAAGTTCTCGGTATAACGAACGGTATTTTTTCGCTCTGGGTAATTTGAAAAGAACTCCATATAACCAAGCCTTGTTATAACGAACATTTTTTCCAGTCGCCTAACCCTTCGTGATATATCAAGGTTTCTTTGTGAAACGATTAACTGGCAGTAAGACAGGAAACACATGAATTAACGCGTGATTTTTTTTTTAATTCATGATATTTCCCTAGAGGTGTATAAGCTATTAAAAACAACCTTAAGACCACCGGCTTTTCGAATTCAAATTTATGATCACAATAAACAAACTGTCCGCACAGCGCAGTGAGAAGTATCGAAGATTCTGTTCTGGCCAGACTAAAAACGTGTACAGTAGGAAAGCAAACATTGATTCCAGCATGTTCTGTGGTGTTTCAAAGAAGAAAATTTTAAACATCTAATGGTCCTGGGATAATTATTTAGCTCGCAGAAAAGCCCTTTAAAATGTAGCCAATGAACAAGGGGCTTCATTGTTTCAAATTCGTAAGCCTTTGTTTGAATAGTCTGATAAGAGAACTAAAGACGAAAATGACATGTTTAGTCGCCCGTGTTCTAGTCATTGATAACACTTCTGGCACACATAGGAGAAACTTCACTGACGTCTTACCAGCCTTAGAAATTCATTGAATAGCTCCGACTTTGGGACCACACCAGCTCGTCGCAACAGGATTACAGAACCAAGTAAAAATGACTAGAATTGGAAAACATGCACGACCTACAGGAGCGAATCAAGTGGATCAAATACCAAAAAAGATGGTACGAATTCTTTGTAACACCGTTACTCAAGCAACCCATGAATACCAAGGTGAAAATATAGCAAAATATGGCGTAGAAAACCAACAGAACCATAATATTTCAAGCAATGATATACTTTTGAACGTTACGAAGCCCGAGGAAAGATCGACATGGCGTGTTGGCGTTCACAAGCGAGTCTTTAATAACCTCTGATGGACACGACTTTCTGCAGTGGACAAATAATTGATAACCACGAATTTTACCAGGAACTGCTGTAAATATTGTACATGAATGAGAAGTCCTGAACTGAACAAGAGCTTCTTGTCAAAGGACCATTTTGTACAGTTTCACAATGGAGTGTTAAAAGTATAACTATTTCATGTTTGAGACTGGTATCCAGCAATTTTTTCGTACGCATTACATCGGTGATAAAAAGATTTCAAGAAAAGATAGAATAAAGTCATTTTGCCTGTTAAGGTGTAATTAGTGCCTATGTATCCTAAATTATAGAGGGCTATAAACTAGGTTTCCAGGCTACTAGTTGATACTAGGCACCTTTATTAAGCACCGGAAAGGAGAAAAACGTAACTATTACGTCACCTCGTTTAATTTGTCAAATTTTGGCAATTTTTTTCTGGAAATGAAATTCTAAAGGACTGCATCCAAATTCAGAAAAAGGGAAGAAACCTTTGTCTTGAGTTCACGTCCCCCATTAAACGTGAAACGGGGAAATTTCAGACGGTGGTTATGAAATGACGTAAAGGATTTGTACCGAAAGGTATGATGCTTTTTTAAAGAAATTATTGTCGTTGCCGTCGAAGTTGCTTAAAACTCCCTACTTAATGGAGCCCGCAACAGGTGGGGGCCGCGGGAGCCGGGGCTGGCGATCTTGCGCTGTACATTTAAAGGGCCGGGGCATATTACAGGTTTCTGCAAAGGCTTTGACTTCTTAGACTATAACATATAAAACACCAATTTCAGGCCTTTTTACGACACTAAAAGCAATATACTGCCCCATTGAACAGAATCATAGAACAGGGGATGAAATCTTTGAATTTTTGAATTAGCCAGAGGGTGCATTTGCAGTAGACTTGCAATCTATTATGACACTGGAATATACAACATAGATTTGAAAGGATAAATTTGATGACGGTT